GGGTTAGATTGACACGGGCAGAAAAAGGAGTTTGCACATATTCGCACATAAAAAACGCATATTGCCACGGTCAGGGCTCCCCGGAATATCACGAGGAAACTCGGAAGCGGGAGCAGGACCGAAATTAAAACAGATAAAAAAAACGACGCAAACACCTCTGGTTCCCACCACAAGCCAGTCTGACTCGAATGTGCAACTCACGGGCGGTAGGGACAGCGACGTCAATATCTCTTTCATTTATCAGCACACCCTGCGATCGGTCTATCTCGCCGGGCAGAAACATGCACAAGGCGTGCTCCTCGGAGCACTCGCGCACGAGTCGGCTCTCGCCGACCAAGTCACTCATGTCGGCCTCGCCGACCATCATGTCACTCATGTCGGCCACGCCGACCATCATGCCAAATTGGCCTCTCGCCAAAACGGCTTCGGGAAACCCCTTCATCCCATCACGAACCCTCCGTGAGCGTAGTCGGGCAGCGGCTAGAACCTCGGTGTGCTGAGGTCCTGGTTGTAGCGACACTGCGACTGGACGAGCACGTTGCGCGTCCTCTTCAGCTTCATCGGCTTCGGGTCCGTCCCGGTCGTGGTGGTCGCGACACTGAGCTGCAGCGGCTCCAACTTGGGCTCACGCACCTTGTTGATCTTCGTGTCGGGCTCGATCTGCTTGGTCCAGCATTCCCACCATACTCCAGCACGGAACCCGCAGTATAATGTCACCACAAGTCCCAGAACGAAACCGAAAACCATCATCTTCAGAATCAAGTCGTTCCAGTCGGCCGTCGTCGGTGGACTGAACAGCTCAACGCCGCTGGGCGTGCACCGCATCACCTGATCCGCCTCACTTCTGCCTGTGCTAGCCGCCAATGCTGCAGCCAGCTTCGCTCCGCTTGCGCCAGCACGGCGCTTGGTCTTGGCTTTCGCCTTCGCCTTCGTCATCGTCACAGGCGGTGTCTTGAGGGTGTCGTGTAGCGCCTCGCCGGCGTCATCCAGCTCCTTCTCGCGTTCCTCCATCGTTCTCTTGGACAACCTCTTGCCGGCCACGAAGTCAGGATAAGATCGTAGCGCATGCACTCCACGTCGTAGCACGTCGGCCATCATCTGGCGGGCCGAGAGCTTGGCAAGTCCGTCCGCCATCTGCTGTTGCGTATCCACCAACTTCCAGACAGCGCCGATCTCTGCCATCTGCTCTTTCACGATCTCCACCTCGATGGCCCATCCTCTTCTCCGCGACGCCCAGGCCTGCCGTCGCCGAGCGCGACGCGTCGTAGAGACACTTCGCGTCAGTGACGAACGGCGACTCTCCCAGGTACACCATCGCCTCTTCGAGCTCCAGGTCGGGTCGCAGGCTCTTCACGCCAGGTAGACCTCCACCACATCAGCGACTCTTGCTACCTGGGTCTCTGCTGACAGCGAGCTCCTGCACAAACGCTGCAACTTCTTCGAAGCCCACTTCATGGCCACGAGAGGTGCGGGGGCGCCGGCGTCGAGCTCGTCCGCGGGGCCAACGAGGATTGCATAGCCTCCTTGCGAACTTCCGTCATGTCGGCTCGCCCAGCTCGCGTCGGTGTAGCTGCCAACTCGCAGTTGACTCCAGGCCTCGTCGAAACCGAAGTACAGCCCTGCGTCCGCGTTGGCCTTCAGAAAGCACAAGTCCATGTTCGCATCCGAGAGGGCCTGCACGGTTGCTCGACCTGTCGCCGAAGCTCGGAAGGACGCAGTAGCCGCTGCTATGATCACTCCTTGGGCCGCCGACCACTGCAACTGCCCACTCAGAGTCCTGAAGTTCGTCAGCTCTCTCGGCGACAGCGCACTCGCGGGGTCGGTTCTCCGATGCTTCTCGACGGTGATGGGCTTCACCGCGTGCAGGTACTTCTCGAACTCGAGGGTCGCGCCGTAGGTGCTCAGAGATTGCTCCACTTCGCCTCCAGTGAAGACCAGACTCGGTCCGAACTCCCACTTGCCGAATTTGAACTTCTCGTCGAGCATCCCCGGGCGCGCCTGGAAGCACTCGGTATCGTCAAGCTTCGCGTAGAGGTCCCGTTCGTTCGTCGCGCCCTCGCCGCGCCCGATGAAGTCGCCCACGTGCTCGCCGATCAGGCCATCCACCGCGTAGGCCCGGCCCTCGAAGCTGCGCGCGTCGAATGGGTCGTCGTCGACCCTCGCCGGGCGCAGGGACAGCAACAGGCAATCCTCGAGCTTGTGGTTCTTGAGCCCGATCTCCTTCGCGACTTCGTCGGAACGATAGCGCCAAAGCTTGGGCGACCGTGGGTCCCCAAAACACGGCTTGATCATCTTGAGCAGTTGTCCAGGTTGCAGGCCGATTTGGTGAGAGAGCATCTCTCTCATCTCCTTCGTCGGGCTCGCGAACAGCTTGAGGCCACGTGCGCTCACGTCCTCGGCCTGCAGAAAAGCGGGCTTGACGTCCGCGCTGAACAACCTCCACTTCTTTAGCGACGCCCAGAGCATGACCGCGTGTCGGCCAAGCCTGCTGAGGGTCGGCGCCTCCTTGTCGAGGTGGGCCCTCGGCGACGTCGCGGTGCTTGAACCCTTGGTAGAGTCCACGCGCAGTGGCCCTCTTCTGCCCATCCTTCATCTTCCACCTGAGCAGGAAGCGTAGGGGGCAGCAGGCTCCCGGGATCCACATCCGCCTCGTTGATGGGCCCCCAGCCGTCGCTGCGATTGAAAACCTCGAGGGCCTCCAGCTTCGCCGCGTAGAACTGGTCCTTCTCCTCGGGCGTCAGCCTGCCCTCCACGATGGCGGGGGCTTTCCTCTTGAAGGCCAGCATGTAGACCGTCTCGGTCGACTCCTCCAGCAACAGCATCTCGTCGCCCACCTCGTCGGCGAGCGCAGCCTCCTCGCTCCGCGGGGCGAGCTTCGCCCACGACGAGCGGGCGCGCTTGGCCACCGGGATGCCGTCCAGCTTCTCAGCCTCCTCGACACTCCTCTTGGCCATCGCCTCGATGTGGAACCTGCTGGGCTCCTGCGCAGCGCTGCCAGACGCGGCGGCGCTGGCCGCAGCTGGTCCGCCGTCCTCGTGCTCGCCGGCCGTCGTCGGCTGAGGATCTCCAGGAGCCGCCGCGGCAGGAGCTCCTGTCGGGTCGTCGGTCTCGTCCGTCTCCATGGGCGCCTGGGCGCGCGGCTGCTGCTGCTCGCCCATGTCGCCCATGTGGTCGTCGTGCTGGGGCAAGCGCCCCTTCTCGGCGAGGTCCAGGTAGTTGCAGGTTCCCTTCGTCCGTCTGAACACGCGCCTGAGCTTCTCGATCGTGCTGAGCGGGCTGTCGGGATCCTCGCTGCGTCCATCTCGTTCGCGGGCCTCGCCTGGCAGCTCGGGGCGAAGCTGCTCCACGGTGCAGCGGTAGATCGCGCGCCCGTGAGTCACGCACACCACCGAGGCGTGCATCACGTTGTCCTCGTTGACCTTCGTTTCCACTGCTACCGCCAGAGCTGGGCCGTGCCAGTGGCACTTCTCCAGCCCCTGCCACTGCTCGGGTCGCCAGAAGTAGACCCACTCTCCGATCTCGTAGTTCCTCCTCGTCGGCCTGCTGCGCGCCAGCAGCGCCGCTCGCACGGCGCGCGAGCAATTGGCCTCGATGAATGCCGTCGCGGCAGCCGTTCTCCTGATCATCATCTCGCGGACCTCGCTCTTGGGGTCGACCAATGCGGCCTGGTCCGACAGGCTGAAGTCCTCGTCGCAGAGGGCGCCAGGGATCTTGGGCTGCGCCCCCAAGACCAGCGCCCCGGGCGAGAACCCGTGCACGTTCCTCAGGGTGTTTCATTGGCTGGCGGTCATCCTGAGCGCGGTCTTGAGCAAGTCGTCGGAGAACTGCAGATGGCACTTGCTGAGCTGCTCCCTCCTGACCGCGTGGTTCCGCTCGATTAGGCCTAGCCTGTGGTGCGCACCCTCCGGATCAGGTCGAGCTTGATGCCATGCTTGCTCATGCAGTCGTGCGTGCGCTTGGCCATGTGCGAGCCCCCCATGTCCATGCGCATCGTCTCAGGCTTGCCGGCCCAGCTGATCCACAGCTTCTCCCATAGCTTCGACTCCTTCAGGAACGTCTCCTTCGAGATCGGGTAGTCGACCTGGTAGCGCGCAAACTCGTCCATAATGGCCAGGATCTTGCTCTCCTTCTTCTTCCAAGTGACGTAGTAGACGTCGGTACAGACCACCTCGTTGAACCGCTTGGCCCTCGGCAGCACTGCGACGCGCACCGCTCGGGGCCTCTGCCTGCCTGGGCAGATCTCGCACTGGAAGAGCCCGGCGCACTGGATCCACTCTGCCGGGGCACCCGCATGCTGCATGGCGACCGCCAGCGCTGCGTTCGAAGGGTGGCCCAGGCTGACATGTGCACGCTTAACTGCTCGGATCGTCGACACGTTGAAACGCTTCATTAGCTCCTGCATCATGTCGGTGTACTCGATGGCGTCGATGTCCTTGTAGACCTCCTCGGCCGCGTTGATGTCGCTGATGTCGTCGGCCATGCCCTGGTAGGCGATCAGGTATGCCATTATACTCGCTATCGGTCTCGGGTAGTTCTGATCCTGTTGGGCAAGCTTGCCTCTCAGGATCACGTGGTCGTCCGTGCACGCGCATGCCAGGTCATGTGGTGAATGAACTCCTTGTTGGTCGACTGCAGTCTCGTGGGTTTCTGGCATGGCTTATCGTTGCCCTGGATCGTGTACTTCGCTCCTAGCCTGCACTGATCGAGCCTGCAGTGATATCCTGGCAACTTCTTCCATGTCTTCGTCCGCCAGTGCAGCCCCTGCCACGGGCCTTTACATACGCGTGTCGGTTTCCATTCTGCTGCTTCACAAACGCCGTCATCATCATCTTGAGAAGCGTCCGCTCTTCTCGCTCCCTGGCATCATTGATCTCCTAGGCGCGCTCCTCAGAGATCTTGTCATTCACGTGCTGCCAGGAGTACCAGTACTTGCACGGGGGAGCGAAGAAGATCTCGTCGGGCTAGTCGTTGTCGATCTTGTTCAGGAAGTCGCGGATCACGGCAGGCTTGGAGAAGTCCCAACCGTGCTCGATCTTGAATTGGATCACCTCGAGCTGCGGAAACTCGAGCAGCTCCTGCGACAAAGCCCCCTGCTCCACGAAGACCTCCCAGACCAGCCTCTTGCGCGGTCCGCGCAGCGTGTCCTTCATGTCGAACGCTGCTTGCTCCAGCGCCAGGACAAGGACCGAGTGGGTGTCCGCATCCATCAGGCGCCGCTCCGGACCTATGACCTCCTCCGTGGCCAGGGTCTCGTCGTCGCTGCCGATCTCGTAGTACTCCGTCCGCGTCTCAAGGTAAAAGGCGCCGGGGTCAGGTGTCGACGTATCTCCGTCGTCACTATCATCGCCTTTGACCGACTCTCCTTCGGTGTCCTTGTCCGTCGAGTCGCTGCTGCTGCCATCGCCGTGGGCGGGGGCTCCCTCGTTCATGGCGTCCTCGGCGTCGCGCCCAGCTCCACCCGACAGGTCGATGATGAAATGGCCTTTTCTCGTCACGCTCGGACTTCATCTAGCCCTTGTCTGGGAGATCATTCATCATGAACGTTCCAGCTCGGTAGTCCTGGATCAAACCTCACTCCTCCATGAAGGGTCGCGCGATCAGCAGCGGCGTCCAGCCGTCGACGAGATGGATCGCGATCTGCTTCTTGACGCCAAACGGCCACACCGTCAAAGTCACCGCTTGCTTGGCCTCCAGCGTCTTGGCATCTCCGAATCGGAAGCGTCGATCACTCTTGCTATACTCGACCTCATGTAACAATTTTCTCGCACGTAATGGCTCTTCCCACTGCGCCCACACTTTGTCGCCCATGACGGGTCGCGTAGCCCCTCCATCGCTGATGCCCTTACCGATGGTCAGCAGGAAGACTTCCTCGGCCGAGTTAGCATACTCCAGCGTCTCAACACCCTCCACCATGCGTGCCTCGTCGTCGGGTTTGGTGAAGCCTCCGTGCCTGAAGCGTTTGAACCTCGGGCCGTGCTGCTGGGTTGCGCCCGATCTTGTCGACCCTGCTGATGATGGCGCACCCTTGCCAAACGCTCCCTTCTGCGGCCTAAAAGCTTCTCGTCGTGGTGGGCCGAATCCTTTGCCGCGTCCTTTGCCTTTGCCGCGTCCTTTACCTTTGCCCGTGCCGGGCCTCGTCGCTCTCGTGGGTCCTGCGCGGCCGTTGCGCTGGTAGTTGCTCTCTGGGGCGAGGGTGACGATTGGGTAGAATCCTCTCGACTTGGCGATCTCCGCCACACGCTTCTTCGCATCCACGAAGCTGCGGTAGGCCTCGTCGCGCGCCACTTGGGCCTCCTCGATCTCCTGCGGTAGCTCTTCCGCGACGTCGGCCTCCTCCTCGTTCTCCTCGTAGGCGTACTCCTCGTCGTCCTCGTGCTCTTCCTCCTCCAGGTACGAGTCTTCGTCGCTCAGGCCTCGCTCCCACTCGTAAGAGTTCGTGTAGTTCACATCGTCCTTTAACAACTTTTGACCGACTAGCATCTTCTCTACTCGCTTCACATCTCGCTTGTCGGGCATCGTTTCAGCTCCAGACGTATCGAGCAGGGCTTTCTTCACCTCTGTCTAACTGAGGCCGTCTACACACTGACTTCGAATCTGGGCGGCGCCCGATGGGGGTATAGCCGCTCGCGTGAGGAGGCGCCAGCCAGCCAGCATGTCTGGGATCTCCATCCCAACCTCCTTGAGCTTCCTGAGCTCTATCTTGCGGCGTAGGCAGTACAGCTTCATTGTCTCCTTCTCCCGGTGAGCGAACTCGCCGAAAACGAAATCTGTACGGGCTGGCAGCTCAGTCTGTTTGTCGTATTTGTAGTACTCGTCCAGCACCTGGAACAATGGCCTGAAAGCCCCCTCCGTCTCTAGCAAGTCCAGGTCGATATCTTCCGTAGCCTCCGCGGCCTGGCCTTGAAGTGAGTTCATGACAAGGAACGCTCCCTCACTGACAGCGGTGGTGCCGCGCTTCTTAGAGCAACGCTCGAAAACCTCCAGCTTACGTCGGAATGCTCGGTAACCGTCGGTCCTCAGCAGCTCATAACTCGGCGCCGTCTCGGACAGGCCTGCATCCAGGCCTCGTCCTCCTCCGTCCTAGGTGGAACTCTCCTGCCGATTCCACCAGCCTTGCCAGCCGTTCCAATCCGTGTAGTTGGTCTCGTCGCCGTCCACGCTGCCCGGCGGGATGCGACTGCCCTCCGCGCCAGCGTCGGCAGGCGCGGCGGCTGAGGCTGCCAGCGGGCCGCCCGGCGGCGGCCTGGCCGGGGGCGGCGCGCGAGGCGCGCCGTTTGGCACGGCGGCGACGGAGGAACCGGAGAGAGTGGATCTCCGGTTCCGCTACCAATATCAACCGATGGCAGCACCCGAAGTCTCCTCGGGATGTGTTCGATCGATTCGATTATCCTGAGAATCGCATCAACTCGTAAGATACGCAACCTTTCAGCTGACTCAGGGGCCCCTGAGCATCAAATGGCAATGGTACAAACATATGTGAAACAATTGCTTCTAACACACCTGCTATGCTGAAACTGCTGAACTGTGCTAATGTACAAGACAACGTACATGTTGACACCTTGGGGCCTCATGTGGGTTTGTTGGGCGCCTCTTGGGTCTCATGGGGTCTCCTTGGGGCCGAAGGCTCGAAGTGTTCGCTCGGGTCCCCCCATGTGGGCCCCTCTTGGAGCCGTCTCTGGGACCGTCTTGGGCGCCTCGTGGGCCGTCTTGGGGCCCTCTTGGGCCGTTTGGGGTGGGGGCCTTCTTGGAGGCCTCTTTGGCCGTCTTGGGGCGATCTTGGGGACTCTAGGGCCGTCTGGGAGCGTCGGGAAGCCGAACAAGCGAGAACGCCAAGAACGTTAAAACACCGAAGGGCAATCAATGGTTTTGCCCTCTTGTAGCCCTCTTGGGAGTGCTCTTGGAGTCCTCTTGGAACGTCTTGGAGGCCTCTTGGGCCGTCTTCGGGCCGCCTTGTGCATCTTGCGCCGATCGTTGGCGACTCGTGGCCCTCTTGGACAATCTTCGGGGCCTCTTGGAGCCCTCTGGACACGTCTTGGGGCCCCCTTGCCAACGAAAAAGTCGCGCGAGAAGCCGCAGGATGCACACGGGAAGTCCCAAGAGACCTGGCAATTTGGGGTTTGGGCCCTTTGACGACTCCCCAGGAGAGAGGATTGAGGCTTAGCGGATTGCGCAAAGGACCTGAAGACGCGCCCACTTCGTGCCCAGATGCACGGTAGCGGATACATACATATATATATATATATATATATATATATATATATATATATATATATATATATCCCTGGGGGCGAGGCCGGGAGCCCCACGACAGGTGCCCCGACCCCCCATGGGGGGACCAGGGCTCATTTTCCCTGTGTTTTTACAGGGTTTCCGCGTCCTGGGCCTCGGAGGCCGCCGCCTCCGACCTCCCATGGGAGGACGGGGCGGCCAGGGAGGTCCAAAATAGTCCAGGAGGGCTTCCAGAGGCCCCCAAGATTGCCCAAGCGGGCCCCGAGTCGCCGAAAGACCGCTCCAGGACGCCCAAGATAGGCCCAAGACGGCCCGAGAGGCCCCCCAAGGCACTCCACGACGCTTCAAGACTCCTCTCCAGAGCGCTTCCAGAGGCCGAAATCGTCAATTGTACGAAGGTTTTCGAACCATTTTGGCCTTCCAGCCTTTTCGGCTGTCCGACGTTCCAAGACGGCTCAATAGGCCCCCAAGGGCGCCCCAAGACGGCCCAAGAGGGCCCCAAGACGGCCCCAGAGTCGCCCAAGACAGCCCAACAGAGCCCCAAGACGGCCCCAAGATGCGCCCAAGAGGGGGACCACGACTCCAAAATTCGACCCTCCCGCTTGAAGAGTGCCCCAGGAGGCCCCAAGGAGCCCCCAAGAGGCCCCAGGAGGCCCCCAAGAGGCACCCAGGAGGCCCAAACGAGGCCTAAAGAGGCTACAAAACAGCCCCGAGGAGGCCCCACAACGGTCCCAAAACGGCTACCGAGAAGCTGCGAAACTGCCTTCACGACGTCCCCGACAGGCCAACCACGAGATCCACACCAACACCCATGAGGCCTCTGACCCACCACCCAGGGCACGGTGGCGGGAGCAGTGACAGCACTTGTGCACAGCATGTTCCGGCGGGAGCCTTCCGGAACACGCTGCAGGAGGAGGAGGAGGAGGAGGAGGAGGAGGAGGAGGAGGAAGATCAGGAGGAGAGAGAGTTGGAGTGGGAGGAGGAGGAGGAGGGGGACGAGGAGGAGGAAGAGGCCTCCCAGACAGCTCCAAGATAGCCGAAGAGGCTTCCAAGAGGGCCCTGCGCGGCCCACGAGGGCCCCAAGGCGGTGCCTGAGGCGCCCAAGACGGCCCGAGAGGGCCCCAAGACGGCCCCAAGAGAGGCCCAAGAAGGGAAACACGAACCGAGAATCCGAGCTTTCTACCCCGAGAGGTTCTCGGGAAGTCCCAAGAGGCCCCCAATCGGATCCAAGAGGCCCCCAAGAAGCTCCCAAGAGGGCCGACGAGGTTCCAAGAGATCTCCCAAGGTGGCCCCAAGAGGCACAACTCATAGTTTTACGATTGGGCTTTGACGGGTTTTAATTTTTTCGGCCTTTTGGCATCCCGATGCTCCAAGACGGCCCAAGAGGCTTCCAATACCGCTCCCATATAGAGGAAGAGGACTCCAAGAGGGCCCCAAGACGGCCCGCGAGGGCCCCAAGACGGTGCTTGAGGCGCCCAAGACGGCCCGAGAGGGCCCCAAGAGCCCCAAGAGAGGCCCAAGAAGGGGAACGCGACCCAACAGCAGATCGGTCCCCCCACAAGGCCCACAGGAGGCCGCAAGAGGCCCCCAAGTGGTCCGACGAGGACCCCAATAGCTTCCCGAGGGCCTAAAAGGCCCCTAGGAGACGTCCAAGAGGCTTTAAGATAGCCCAAGAGTGCCCTCGATGCGTCAAAACTGCTTCCAGGAGGCCCCCGGGAGGCTTCCGGATTGCCTCAATCTGGCCGCAGGTGGCCTCAAGTCGGGCTTCCACGCAGCCAAGACGGCCAATGACGGCTTCAGATTGCAGAACCGATGCCCCCAAGGGACCCTCAGACGCCCCCCCAAGAAGCACCCAAGAGGTGCCTCCAACAGCCAGTTGACGAAGCATGCGGAACACCCCAGAAGCTCCTCAGATGCCGTCGCGCGCCTGTGCTTGATAGCGTTGTCCAAGATCGTCCAGCGCCCCCCAGGCCTGGGCTAGAACCTGAGCGCGCGCGAAGCGCGCGCGATGGTTCTAGTATATATATACATATATATATATACATCTATATATACATATACATATATATGTGTATATATACATATTTATATATATATGTGCACTTGTATACGGATGTACACACATGTATTTCCACATCTATCTATATATACACATACATAGATGCATGCACACATACCTGTATATACACATCGACATCTACATCTACATATGCATATACACAGACATGTAAGTGTACTGCACATGTGCATATACATATACATATACCTATCCATAGTCATAAACATACATACACACATGAACATGTACACAATACATGAATGCCTGCATGCACAAACACCTGTACACATACATATACATGTACATGTACACATACATGTACATGTACATATTCAGATACATCTTCATATATATATATATATATATATATATATATATATCAGAGCAGGCCGCGGGCGAGCCTGGAACCACGGCCGCGAGTGCGCACGGCCGCCCTGGGGGCCGCAGGGGCGCCCTCGTGGCCCGCAGAGTGGCCCCGTGGGCGCACAGAAGGCACACGAACTGGTACGATAGCCTGCCGGACCGGTCCATCACACCCAGAGGGCGCCGAAGATGCCTTGTGAACGGCCTCCGAAGGCTTCCAGGCTGCGCCAGGACGGCTCCGGGCAGGCTTCAGTGGGCGCCCGAGGCCCCAGGCGGGTGCTCCGAGAGGCAAAAATTGTCGTTTTTCGTTCGGGTGGTCAATGTTATGGGGTCCTCCATTGAGCGAGTTTTCGACAATCCAAGACGGCCCAACAGGCCCACCAGACCATCCCAAGACGGGTCAACAGTCCCAGGAGGGCCCTGGGACGGCCTAGCAGGACTTCAAGACGGCCCCAGTGGCGCCGAAGATGGCCCAAGAGGTTTTAAAAACGGCTCCAAGATGGGTTCAAGAGGGGGAGCATGAACTGAAATTGTAAGTTTTCCGCCCCAGCAGGCTCCCAGGAGGCCCCAAGAAGGCCCCCAGAGACTGCCACGAGGCTGCAAGATGCCCCTAAGAGTCCTCCACGACGCCCCAGAAGCCCCAAAACGGCCCCTAAGAGGCTCAACGACGGCTCCCAAGAGGCACACGCGAGGCCTCCTTCGACATCCCACCGAACATCCTGAATGCATTCGACCCACAATTCAGGCACGGTGGCGGGAGTGGCCGAAGGCCAGTCCAGTCTCTTTCGCGCACCCCCTACGCTCCTTCTCACGTTCCTTTCCGTGGCCTTCCCAGCCCCGACCGTTTTGGTTACCCCACACCTCCCCCATCTCACTTCTAAGCTTCACCACCATGCACAAGTCGAAGGTTTCCGAATGGTTCCATCATGCCGTCCTTCGGCCTTTGTACTTACTGCTCCCGGTTGCGTCATCCTGGAGAACCCCTACCAACAACTCCATATATTAAATGCATGGGGGAAGCGGTTGACCAAATATTGTTCCCTAGAATGCGTTCAGGTAATTTACAGGAGTCGCCACCACCAGGATTTTCTCGTCTTTCTTCGCCGCGAAGGCAGTCGGCAAGATCGCCGAAATCAAGGTTACGCAGCGTTCTTTCGAACACTTGGTTTCGTTAAGCCGTCGCTATGGATCCGCAGTGCTGCTCGTCCGCAGCCTCTGTTTCGCTGTTTCTTTCCTTTTTGTTATCGGTTTCCTTCTGGTTCGCTCTTCTGGACCATGCTTTGAATCGGCAATCTCCCGCGCTTCGCTTCATTTCGAAATGGCCGCGTGCGTTGTCAACGTCGCCGCCGTCGTCGTCGTTTCCGTTGTCGCCATCGCCGTCGTCTCTTTATGGCGGGCCTTCGGTTCGCGAGCGCCATCTGGCGGCGGGAGGCTCCCGGCCAAGCCTTTTCGCCCTCCGCTTTCTCATTATCCTTCCCCTACTCGTCCTTCTCGTGCCATTCTCCCCCTTCCCTCTCCCTCGCTCCCCTTCCTCCGCCCCCCCCCTCCTCCTCCCTCTCTCGCGCCTGCTCCTTGCTCCTTCCTGCTTCCTC